CCAGCTATACAACTAGAGGGAAGGAATCTGATCATTTTGGTTTGGGCTACATCAAAAGAAAAGCAGCTTCCGAAAGACGCTGTGATTGTTGGAGACGAGGTAGTTGGTACAGTTGTGGAAGTTCCTTTTCTTTCTAGGCAATGCCCTCCACCTAAGAGCTCCAGCCCTTGACTCACAGTGGTCACGTAGATGCAAGAATGAGCTTCTAGTGCACTCGATGTTTTGTCATTTCTACAAAAAAGCCTCATTCATCTTCTAAAGAATCAAAACATATAATAAAAACAGTTTAAATTGAATTGTATGAAAGATATCTAACTCTTGTAATGTTAGTGACTATAAATGCTTGTGCTAATCATAAGTACAATCCAGCAAGATAGTATAAACTTCAGAACGCTGCTGATCAGTCAACTCTGCTGGAAATTGGACAAGAAAAGTAGCTCTCAGGTCACCTCTTCTCCCTTTGGCATTGGTCATGCCTTGGCCTTGGATGACCTTCTCGTATCCTGGATAAATGATGTCTTCTATGGACAAGCTCATCTTTTTTCCTCCCAACAGAGGAACTGACAGTGAGCAGCCTGTGAGAGCCATGACTAAAGGGATCTCCACCGCAATCTTCAAATCATCAGCTTTTCTCTGGAACAGAGGATGCCTCTGTTCTTCTATGACAAAGATGATATCTGCAGGGAGGTATCTTGGTTTCTCATCGCCCTTCCCTTCAAAGGTAACCTTTGTACCTTTCTTCCATCCCGGTTTCAACTTTATTATCAATGTCTCATCTTCCTGCAAAATAAATGTAATATCCCAAAATTTTGGGGTATTTTAGCATTAAATTGGGGACTTATTTGAGGAAAAATATTGTTTTGGGGCTTAATCATAAAATTTTTAAAAGTTGAGGGACTTAAAAGAAAGGAAATTAGGATAAGGATCAAGGCTGATATTTCTCTCCTCAGCCACGTGTTTTGCTCATCCTCATCTTCTTCTTCTCCCCGATGCTCTGCCCCTCGACCCTCTGCACCCGAGAAGCCCCCCCAACTACCGCCACCCATTTTCCGGCCGGAAATCCGGCAAAGCTTGGGGATTTCTCCCTATTTTCTTGTCTTAGAACACCTGTTGAACCCAGAAAATCCCAGATCTGCGTCTTCCTCCCTTTGCTGTCCGTCGGCTTTAACTTGTGGGTTTGAAATTTCTGGGCATTTTTCGATAAGAACAGCCTTGAATCCCCCTTTTCTCTCTTGATTTAGGCTTGGGTTTGCCTTGAATTGTGTTTTGGTTTTTGGATTGGGTAGCCCGCGAGTTCCCCTGCACAATTTCTTCTTCCTTGCCGCCGGCTTTTTCCCCCCTGCTAGGCTCGGTTTTGCTTGCTAAATTCTGGTAAGTTGCCGGCTTTTCCAAGCTTAAAAATTACCCATTTAATTGCTAGGTTTTGTCCATTAGTTGATGCTCTGTGTTGTCCGAATCTGCTGGGATGGGGGATGAATCTGGCAGCCCTTTTTACTGTGTTTTAAGCTTGATTATGTAGAATTTAGCTTGAATTAGCCGCTGTGATGTTTTGTGTGAAAAATCCCGTGTGCGTGAGTTGTGATTTGCCAAAGTCATGCCCTCCATGTGCTGCCCGTGAGATTGGGGAAATTTTGGTAGCTTTAAGCTATGTTTTAAGTGTGGTTTAAGTAGGAAATTAGCTTGAATTGGGTTGTTGTGATTTTGGAGAAAAATCCCGTGAGATTAGTTATTGTTTTGCCAATTTCGGAAGTTGAAGTTACTGTTCACGGATACTGTTCACGGATACTGTTCATAGGCACTGTTCACACACCGAGGGTTAACAATTAACGAGGATTTAAAGGTTTAGTTTGTGATATAATAATGGATTTGGAGATGTCCGGTTATGTGGAGATTGATAGAAATAGCACTGTGATTAGGGATAGTGCTAATGATGATTTTACTGTGAATTTATGGTAGTGCGATATTAATTCTTGGAATATTGTGATTAGGTTTTGATCGTTCTGTCACCGTAGCACTTGGGTTAGCCTTCTGTTCTGTGCGAGTGAGGTAAGTAAATTATGGTAAAGCCCTTCGATTTCAAAGCATGTTTTAAACTATTTTTGAGATGGTGGCAAGGTTTAAATTGATTTTAAATTGATTTTATCAGCATCTGAGGGTGATTAAACTGAAATGAGAATTTGGATGATTTTCATGAGAATTTCCTTGTTTTTTTCTAAAATTGAGCATGATTGGAATGAAAATGAGGATTTTATTGATTTTCTGGAATTGAGCATGATTGAAATGAAAATGAGAGTTTCATTGTTTTTCGGGAGTTGAGCATGCCTATTTAGAAATTGACTGAACTGCTTTGATGAATTGAGAATTTTGTAAATGTTGAGTTTTCTGTTAAATCCATGCCCGTATGGAAATTTTTCGGTTTGTTCTGAAATTCGGGATTGATTGTGAAATTGGGGTTTTTCTGTAATCCTACATGGTTTTGTCTCTGATATAGTCATGAATTCT